ACTTCCTTTTTTCACATTTGACAAATAGTGTTCGTGGTACTATTTACTGTAATACCTCTGTGTAAATACTTTATAAAATATAATTTCACTAAAATGGCTTTATAAAAGTTCAAAAGGCCCTACTGTCCCTAAAACATAAATCAGGGCAAAACACTGAGTGTGGTTATGGTAAAGGTTATCTGAAGAATAGGAGGACAAACTCATGTTTTTTTTGTTTTTTTGTTTTTTGTTTTTAAGAGAGACAGTTGTCTCGGATTTTTCTTTCATGGTTTGTGTTTTTTGTGCCTTCTACAAAGGCAAATCTCCGAACACTACATGTTATTTGGCACCATTGATAGAAAATTCTAAACCATACAAAAACTAAACAGTCTATTACTCAAGGAGACATACAAAAGAAGTAGAACTATATATTATTAGAAAGTAGGGGAATAATTAACACCAAATTCAAGGTAATAGTTACCACTGGGGGGTAAGAAAAGCGAGGCTTATGAGTGCTTTGTGAGATACCCTATGGAATTGGTGCAGTCCTGTTTCTTAAGTGAATGGTGGCTCTGTAGACTTTTAAAAAAAACTGTTTATCCCTTAAATACACATTATGTATGTTATTTGTATGGAGGAGATATTTCATAATAAAATAGGTTAATGAAAGGATAATTATTAATTACTTCTTGACTTAGAAAGTTTGATACTTTAAATTTATACTCTGGCTTAGTTATATTGGTTATTCCATTACAATATTGCTTGAGGGCCATTCCAGATTTGAAATTTGTATAATTCACATGTAATTGTGAAATTATAGACTAACATGTGATAATGAGCTCTAATCAAAGTGCTTTAAAGAGACTCCGTAACAAAAGTGTAAAGTCTGTTAATTCATTAATGTGTTAATCATTCCTGCTGGAAATATTTTAACTGATTTTTAGCCAATCATTATTTCTGCATTAATTCTTCCTAAAGAAAGTGTTTAGTTTTCATTGACTTCTCTGCAAAAACTCAGTAAGGCTCTGAAGTAAAGACTGAATAAAGAGAGATGTTGCTTTGTCTATTTAAAACACGCATATTTAAAATCAAGGTAGTTAAAATACAATAGCCTAACAAAGCTTCAGTTTAATGCTTGCACAAGTAAATTTTTCTCTTTTATGTTTAGGCCAAATCTGAAATAGGATCCAGTATGTCTGAAATTTTGCTGTGAGTATGAAATATTTGAAACTGTGTTTTGTTTTGTTTTTAAGTTTATTTATTTATTTTTGAGAGAGAGAGGGAGAGCGTGCATATACAGGGGAGGGGCAGAGAGAGAGAGGGAGAGAGAGAATCCCAAGCAGTCTCTGGCTGTCAACGCAGAGCCCCATTTGGGGTCGATCTCACAAACCCTGAGATCATGACGTGAGCCAAAATCGAGAGTCAGATGCTTAGGTGATTGAGCCACCCAGGCGCCCCTGAAACTGATTTTAAGTAAATTCTCTATTCATTCCATTAACTGAATTTTGGGATTTCTGGGTTTATCTCTTTGTGAAGCAGTATGTCTGAGAAGTAGCTTTAGCCTGTACAGGTAACAGTTGTGTGTGTATACTGTCAAACATTCTAGCATTTCCTTCAATAAGGTAAAGATTGAAGTGAGTAATAAATACAGCAGTTATTAAGAGACTATGTAGAACCTATGCAACTAAAATGTTTCAACTTTCATTTGGATACGAAATTACCCAATGCACTGTTTCTTTATACATAATTTATTCTTTGTTCTGGTTTTCTATATGCTTTTTTTTCAGAGATATTTTATAACATTGTATTTAGCAATTTGATTATTTTATTTTTATTTAGAATTGAGCTATGTTCTTTAATTATTCAGAGCTTTATTTACTTGATGTCTCTTAAGACTGTTTCTTTAGGCTGTCCTTAAGCTCTGTTTTGGACTTAAATATTTTTAATATCCAGCCTTTTTTAGAGCCAGGTTAAGCAAATAAATTTCATCTGCATTACCCACTAGGGTTCTTGGAAAAATGGGTTAATATTTGCTTTAAAACCCACACAGATTAAGACAACTTGAAAAATATCCATACCAATCCTTTACTATTTTTATAATATTTTCAATATAAAATTATGGCAAATAGTCTTCTATCACAGGTGATCTCCTAAGTAATTATTAATGTGGGATTCCCAGGACTATTTGAAAACCATTTTTAAAATATGGGGAGAATATTTTAACTCTGTATACAAGGCAGTTCATAGGTTCTCACAGTTTCTGTCTTGTTAACTTGCTAGCTTGTTTGCTTCCTGCCATCCTTCCTTTCTTTTTAAATGACCTTTTTCCCTACTCCCAGAATATGATGCATAATCATTATGAGAAGTTTAGAAAATCCAGGTAAGCAAAAATAAGAAAATTAAAATTATTATAATTCCAACATACAGAGATAACCACCAGTAACATTTTTGTCTGTGTCCTTCCAATATTTCTTCTATTTTTGTTTTTAAAAATGGCATCGTAATATGCATACTGTTTTATTAGCCTGCTGGTTTTCATTTTATACTGTAATTTGAAAACACTTTCCTGGTACCAATTATTCTTATGTAACCTTTTGTTGGTTCTCACAACTAATTTTGAATATTTTTTTTTATGTCTGACTGAACCTTTCGTGGGTCCTTTTTCTTTTTCGTTTGGAGAGAAGGTCGCCAGAAGCTCAGTTATAAAGACAGCTTTACCAGTGGCCGTGGACCTTCATTTTATTCCGCTTTGCTCCGTGCCAGAAAACTCACTGCTGCTCTCTTTTACCCACCTCCCAGGGTTGTTATCACACTGAAGATTGCTAGTATATTTTACCTTCACAAATCCCACCTGAACTCCAAAGAACTCTCAAGAGTAAGGCACCTTTGTGAAGGCGCCTGGGTGGCTCAGTTCGTTGAGCATTAGACTTCGGCTCAGGTCCTGATCTCACAGTTTGTGATTTGAGCCCTGCGTTGGGCTCTGTGCCGACAGCTCGGAGCCTTTCGGATTCTCTCCCCCTCTCTCTGTGCCCCTCTCCTCCCTCTCTCTTTCCCAAAAATAAAGAAACATTAAAAAAAAAAAAAAGAGTAATGCTGGACTTTACATCTAACTTTTATTAGGTGCACATAAAGGTCATCTATTGGGGAACACAAAAGCTTCCTTTATAGTAAAGGAATAGCAGTTAGGTAATATGCCCAGAAAAAAGACATGACAAAAGTAATGACCACTCACACCCACATTATTTGTTCAAACCAAATCATAATGTAGACTGGAGGCTTAATCCTAGCACTCTCTGACTGAGGGAGAGAATTTCTAGCCTTTAATTGTTTCAGGTGGACAGGAGTGTTGAGAGAAGCAACTCATAATTAAACTACTAGAAAATCCTTCAAAATGATGGGACCTAATCATCTATCCTTTTCCAGTCAAGCAAATTAAATTCTTTCCCCATGCATATCTCTAAATTGCAATCCTGTACAAGGAAATTATTGAAACTAACCCTAGGCAGTGACCATGTTTTAGAGCTAACACTTAAGCAACAGATCTCCAAGAATTAATTTTGAGACTGACTTCATTCCTTTTGAAGAATGGCTTGAAATGGGCCTCATGCTGGAATCAATTTTTCAAGTGTATTTGAAAATGGGTAAGAATATCTTCTCATAGTAGATGAGTCTCCATTAGTAAAAGACACATTGTGTGGTTTCCATAATTATGGCATCGCATTTTCTCCAGCAAAATTGCCGATAGGGAGAAGAAAGTTCTTTGAGATGGTGTATAGAGTCGTTTCTTTTCTAAAAAGTGGAGACTGCTAGAGCTATTTTAGAACTCAGAAAGCAGTTGGAAAATCCTTATTAGTTAATGGAAGAATTTAGTTTAATTATAGGAAAAAGAATACATTTCTCAGAGATGGCTTCAACATTTTTGAACCACATAATACAGAAAACAAGGAAGCCTTTTTTTTTTTTTTTAATTTTTTTTTCAACGTTTTTTATTTATTTTTGAGACAGAGAGAGACAGAGCATGAACGGGAGAGGGGCAGAGAGAGAGGGAGACACAGAATCGGAAACAGGCTCCAGGCTCCGAGCCATCAGCCCGGAGCCCGACGCGGGGCTCGAACTCATGGACCGCGAGATCGTGACCTGAGCCAAAGTCTGATGCTCAACCGACTGCGCCACCCAGGCGCCCCACAAGGAAGCCTTTTAAGGGAGATCACCTCTCTTGTTCTTGTTTCCTTTTTTATGATTGGATCTCCAGAAAATTATTTGAATTAATTTTGTTTTCAATTAGGAAATCACAGGCGGCCATGTGTACAATGCTGACAGAAGTTCAAAAACCCATTTCTGATGACTTCTTACCAAACCAATCAGAGGATACAAATTGGTTTATGATATCGATACACCATACCAATATTACAAATACAGAAGAATTACTTGCTCTGATCCTAAGCCAAATATAAAATTGGTAACCCAGTGTTACAATTGGAAAACATCTTGGAACTATTTAACCCTTGGGGTGCCTGGGTGGCTCAGTGATTAAGCATCAGACTTCAGCTCAGGTCATGATCTCGCAGTTTGTGAGTTCAAGCCCCACATTGAGCTCTGTGCTGCCGGCTCAGACCTGGAGTCTGCTTTGGATTCTGTGTCTCCCTCTCTCTCTGTCCCTCCCCTGCTCACATTCTGTCTCTCTCTCTCTCAAAAATAAACAAACGTTAAAAAAGAAATTTTAAAAAAGAACTGTTTAACTCTTTTCTTGTGGTACCTTTTCTCCCAAATTTAAAATGAGAGGACAAAGTAATTTTAAAATCTGACTCCAGCCCTTAAAACTATTCAGTGCGTTATCAGGTGTGTCTTACAAATAATGTTTTATTTGGAACTAACCAAGTTTGTTTTCTACTAACAATAAGTTAGATTGTCTTTTACAGTTCTCAAGTAACAAGTATGAGGACCCAACTCTCATTCAACATTCAAGCCCTCGCAGTTTGGGCAAATATATCTTTAGCAAGAAAGTGAGTAATATAATTTTTCCCTATTCTCTTCCCCATATTCACTAATTCCATTCATATTTTAATATGTCATTGTAGAACATTGCAAGTATTATTTTATATTAAATATAAATGACTCTGACACTTCTGTTACAGCAAATTTGTATTGCTTTCTTGCTAGTTTTTTTTTTCTTGATTATAAATTAATGATTTTGGAAGATTGAGCATTCATTACATTACAATCTAAGTAAGCAAGTCATTTGATGTCTTAAACTTCTGGTTTGATCCTGTACTCTGCCCATAGCTACTTATTGTTGCATTGCAAAAGAAGTAAACCATAATTTGAATTCCTCTGAAGAAAAAAGTAACCTCTGATGATAAAAGAAAACCTGAAAAATGCAACACTCCCTTAATTTTTTGTTCATTTACTTTCTAGTCTAAGTGTTTTATGTAAATTTATACATGTACATACATTTGTAGTTGTGTTTCCTTGGCACGTAACGTTATATTGTGAACATTTTCCCGTATCATAAAAACACTTAAAATCATTTAAACGTCTGTGTAAAACTCCATTCTGTGACCTAGGAGAATTAACTTTTAACTATTTGAGACTTTGCAGGTTGCTTCCACTCTTTCTGCTACAAGTAATATTAAAGCATTTTTATGGATTAACCTTTATCCACATTTCTGGTTTTTCTTAAAGATTTACACTTACATGTCAAATTGCTAGGTCAATGAGTGTGATTATTTTTAAGGCTCTTCATATATATTATCAAAGTATCTTTTCTTGAAGATTATAATAACACATGCTTTCACAGTATTACGTCCTCACCAATATTGAGATTTGTCATTGTAAAACCTTATTATTTTGATGCATGACATTATTCCTTTGTTTTGCGTATGTTTAATTGCATCTCCGATTTAACAAGATTAATAATCTGTATTTCTTCTGCAAATCTTAACTTTCTATCTGTTGCTGTATAGTTCCAAGTGAAGTCGTCTGTGATATGTATTACAATGTGTAGTGAATGACTGTTTTGGTTATATGTTCCCACTCAGATTTCTTTCAACTGAGATCTTTCTTTGTCCCTAGTTAAAAATGGAAAGTTTTATGGATCTAATTTTTTTCCCCGTAGTTTAAACCTATGTGATATTGTCATTAATATTCATGCACATAAATAATTTTGTACATATTTAAATTTTTTTATAGGGACAGACAGAACCCATCATCAGTATGGCTTTTTACTGGAATGTTTTGCATTTATTCATTGTTCTTCGCTTGGAGGGCGAATTTAGATATTTCAAAACCACTTTTCATGGGTGTGGTAAGTTTGACTTGGATATGGCCCTTTGACCCCAAAGGTGATTAGGAATGTACAGTCTTGTCTTCACGAATCTTGTAGAAGAGCGACTTATCTTAGAATAGTTAAAACTGTGTGTAATTTATTATAGATCAAAAATTATTAGCGTATTCTCTTTGTAGTAGAAATTATATATATTTTTTTCAACGTTTATTTATTTTTGAGACAGAGAGAGACA